TTGACTTCACCCCATGCCTTCTTCACAAGTGTGCCTCTTCTCGGAATGCAGTTTTCTCTCTTTTCCATAGATTTCAAGCTTACTCGTCTTTTAAGAGCCAGCTTAGGTTCAGTGAGTCAATGCGCCCTCTTCCTACTACCCTCTCTGCAGTCTCTTCTGGCTCTTTGGAGCTTTCATAGTCTTACCTACTTGGCTCTTATCTTTTCCTCCCCAAGATTAGTAATCTGTTTATATGTATATATTTGTATATCTTTTCAAAAGATAAATAAAAGTTTCCCCGGAACCAGGACGGTGCCTTATGTTGCTTTGTATTTCCTTCCGTTTCTCCTACAATGCCTCTCCCATGATTGGACTCTATAACCTTTGGCGTTCTTTCTAGCTCTGAGATCCCATGATTCTAACAGTCAGTCAATAAATATTGATTGCCTGGCCATCCAGCCTAAAGCATTCTTTTTGTTAAAGCACAAATCATTCATATTCTGAAGTCAGGACAAAGCACCCGTGATGAGGAATTGAAATGCTATTATCTCTCCTCTTTCCTTCCATGGCTAGTTCAGTGGTTGACTCATAATCTAAAAGCCTACTTTTCTTAAGAGGTTAGTTCAAACAGTGCTAATGAATGGCCTTTGTGTGTGTCTGTTTCCAGTCTCACACATGTCAAATGGGTGTAGACTTATCTTTCTTTGACTGGATAGAATTTGCCTTATTTGTTCTTTTTTTTTTTCCTTTTGACAATGTAGACAACTTTCAGGTATATTGAAGTTGCTTCTTGTGTATTCATGAATTTAAGTAATTATGATAGAATTCTGAGTATGATAAATACCTAGGCTTCTAGAACCGAGCTTTTTTTTTTGTCTTGTTTATAATAGTTTAGGAAACTTGCATAAGTTTACTATCTATTTCTTAAACTGTGGCAAAAATGGAGACGCTTGCAGTTGTAACTTAGCCATTTATTTTTAAAAGATTCAAAATCAGATTTAAAAAAATAATTATGAGAAAGTAGAATGTAGAGGAAAAAATGTTTGATTAGGAGCCTAAAATCTAGGTTTGGGGCCCTGGATCTATCACTTATTTGTATGAATTTATGTAAGAAGATTAAGTTCTCTGAGCTTCAATTCCTTCATATGTAAAATGATCAAAATTATAATTTCTACTTCACAAGGACTTTGTGAAGTTAAATTAGATAGTGAAGTGCAATCCTGTAATAAACTTCTATACAGGTGTCACAGTAACTAATAATTATTATAATTTATGGGTTTTGGTACATGATTTATATAAATCAAAAGAAAGTAAAAGACCAAAATACTGCAGGAATTGTCCTCCTCATAGTCCTCCACTCACCAAATCCCATGTTTACCTTATGTCCCATTTTCCGTTTCAAATGATTTTCTAGTATTAAAAAAAAAAACCAGGTAAATTTTCCTTGTTGATAGGTGCTTCTGCCGTGGTTCAACTCATAGATCATTCATTTATGCTCCAAAATGTGAATATCAACTTGCTGTCCCTAGATTGCAGAAACTACCATCAATTTGGTTTCCTGTGTCGTAGAATAGACTCCGCTTTGTGTATAATACCTATTACTTCTCCCTAGATTTGAACATCAGTCAAGGGACACATAACGAATATTCATAGAATGCTTTTGCATATTGCCAATTATATGCAAACATGCCAATTATATGCAAACACATTCAACAAATAATTACATAGGTGTGTGATTTAGATTTGCAGCTTACCTAATAAAACTAAGTAGAAAAATAGACACATATTCCTTTTGAAATATACGTATTTCCTTGTTTATGGTTTTGAAGTTTTTTCAGAGTCATTAAGAGCATGTCTACTCCTGTGTGTAAGTGTTCAGTATGTTCTTGCACCCAATTCTGAATCCTATTCCTATTCTCTGCATAACTCAGTTTTAGTCTCTTAGCACTCATCACCAATTGTTAGCCAAGGAAGTCTGGAAAAGAAGAACATAGCTTTTATAAGTTAACTTTTTATTGATAATTTCTGTTAATTAAATTCCCAGCTTATTTCGGTCTCTTTGGTTAGGAAATGGAAACTGAGTGAGATACAGATATGGCCTAGTAGAAAATGCTCCAAGAATGACTTGGTTTCATCTCATTGTGTGCGTGCAGGCATCTGTGTGTGTATGTGTGTGACTTGTTGCCTGGGTGATAGAACAAATAGAGGAGAAAGGTTGAAAGGCGAAGACAAAGGCTGTGTCTATACAACTTCAGCTGAATTGGACCTGACTGAAAGATTGGTTCGGTCTGATTTACTAGAGCCTATCTCCTGCGTGGCAGTGGTCTGAAAATTGCTTCCAGGGCCATTTTAATTAGCTGATTCAAATCAAAGCAAACACATCCTGGTAGCATCCTTTTCTGCCCTGCCCCTCCCCAATGACAGTTTTCAGAATGATGATTCCTGAGTAGTTCTCCGTGAACTCAATAAGTGATTTTTGAGGAATGCTCTTTTGTTTTTAAACATTAATCTTTAATGGTGAGGAAAGAATCCATTTTTCTTGACTTTAGTGACAGTTGAATATTAGTGTACAGAGGCATTTGTTCAGTGCATCAAAGCTTAAAATCACAAAAACGTGAAACCTGCATTTACGTGGTTAATTTATGAATTGAAGAATTAGTTATATTCCCCAATAAGATTTTAATAAGAGAATTTCATTATGCTGCATGGCAATCCAGTGACTATATTACTTAAATGCATTCTGTTTCTTGGGTGTACTTTTAAATTAAAAGTATCTCAGGTCATGAAAATTAAAAAATGAAACATTTTGACACCTCTGATTTCCTGTTTTTAAAATTGTTTTACTGCTTTATTCATTTATTAAAAATCTTTCAGAAAATTTTACATGGTATCTTTCCTTTAAGGAAAGAAGAAAATGACTATTATATAGGAAAGATTAAAAAGAGAAGGTTAGTGAAATTATAGATGGACAGACTAAATTTAAGAATGAATTAGAGAGAAAAAATGGGAAAAATAATATGCTGGTATAATAAAGAGCATTTACTGCAGTTCAAAAAAGATCTATGGCATAATCTATCATATGACAAATAATAGAAAGTTAAACATAACCATATGATTTCAAAATATTAAAATTAAAGTAATAGTATGATGTGACAAGTAATATGATTTCCTTAATTAACTATTCCAAGACATGCATTCATTCGATAAACCAATTTTCATTGAGAGTCAACTATCTGCCAACCCTGAGAAGGAAGCAATAAACAGAGTGAACCTGATGTTTGCCATCATCGAGGGCATTATAGCTTTGTATAGGATGTGAGAAGTAAATGAATAACTTCACAAAAATAGTTACATATTTGATAAGTACTATGGCAACATAATACATATGGCAACATATATGCCATAACATACATGCATATGTAAGTAAGAGTGCACAACAGGAGGATCTAATGTAGTGTTGGCGTACCTATGGCGACATTGTTGTGGTTGGTTTGGGAATAAAAAATAATATCTGAAGCTTTCAAACATTTAGCTGTCACCAGCGGGTAAGCAGTTTTGAAATGAAGTGGTTTTGTGTAAAATAAGAGAAATGTGTGGTGATATGTTTTGTGTAAAGTAAGATAAACTACGTTCATCTTAAACTTAGAATTTAAATCGTGAAGATTCACGTATTCTAGATGCCTTGGTAAATGTGTGTGCTGCTCATGTAATTACCCAGAACAGCCTAAGTTATGTTAACTTTTAGAACTGTTAAGAAAGAAATAAATATTTTCTTTATTTCTAGGAAAGGATAAAAATTAGTTTAAAATTAGGACATTTTAAAGCTGCTTAAATTTATACAGCTAATATTGTTAATCTGCAGTCAGACCAATTTTTAAACATTTTCTGCTCTTGAATATAAACAATTCTAAAATTAGATATTACGTTTTTTTTTTTTTGCACCATTTACTTCCAGAAATGAAGTGCTGAATTAGTCAGTGAAAGAAACTATTTACTTGCTTTCTAACTTTGATTCTCATGTGCTAATGCATTGTTACATTGGAAATTAGGTGGAATATTTCTCTTTTCTGATTCTAATTCTTAAAGGTAAGTACTTTTGGTAGTAAGCTGTAGCACTTTTATTCTTCTATTTATGGAAGTGATTTGTTATCTTTTGGGCAATGTTTGAATTTATTAAAGATGTTACTAACATCAGTTGCACCATCAAACTGGAAAACAATACTCAGTGTACCTCCTGGCATTGGGAGTAGAAATCAGCTTATTGGTCAGGCTCAAGTTCAGAGAAATAAGTATCTACCACTATTTAAAACTGACCTTAGAACCAAAACATTTTGAAAGAGTTTTGCCATCACTTTTATTTGTGAAAACTTTTATAGATAGAAAGTTGAAAACATTGTCCTTTTACAGTCATGACTTTGAAGGAGAGAGTAATTCATCCTTGATCAGAGATCAACAGGCCATTTGTTGATAGCATGTAAATTGCTCAGATTTCTATTAAGTGACAGTGACTATATAATTGCATTTGGAGACTAGAGAGCTACTTCGAAAGGTGTGAACATTCAGATCAAGCTCATATCCCTAAGATTTCAGGGCCATGTAAGTTGTAAAAGCAGTGACAACAAAATTACCATTTCATTATTATTTGTATTTGTAGTGTAAACAAAGCCAGCAACCCTCCCCTCCACCTTACCCATCTCCTGGTGAAATTTCATAGCCTTTAAAAGCTTGAAGCCTGAAACACAATTAATTCAACGTTTCTTTTACCATGCAAATATCTCTTCTCAGAGATAGCATCCATGAGATTAGTCAGCAGTATTGATCTAGATGCCCTGGGGTTGTTAATTGTAGCGAGAACTGTTATGTCTGTATGACTTCTGGAAGAGGTTATGTCCATTTCAAATACATCTTAAAGAAGGAAAGGATACTATCAGCCAAGGTGTGCATCCAAGCTTTGGAACTAGGCTAGCAAAACCCTACTCACATCCCTGTAAAGCAGACATATATTTTTGTATTTTTTATAGGTGGATACAGTGCAGACCACGAACCCCCTTGGCCACATTGCGGAATCATGTAAAATGAATGTATGTGCTCGTAAGTGAAATACATGTAATGTTCCAACTCAGTGTTGGATCCTAATAGACCTGGATTTATCTGGTGTAAAAGAAATCGATTCCCAAGGGGCAGGATCACTAGCTGATTAAAATGAAGCTCTGATTTTGAAGAAAACAAAAATGGCTTTAACATAAAATCTCTGCAAAAAGGAATCAAACTAGACTTCACAAACAACTGAAAAAAATCAAGCTCTCAATGTGGAATAAAGGAGGGATGTGAGAGAGGTTTTGCAATCTTATCAATTACTGTGGAGAATCAGAATCAAATATCGTCATACTCAGGAGTATGAAAAGAAGAACAGGAAATCCCTTTCCTTCGATTTGCACTTGAATGGACTCAGGCAAAGAGTGGAGACGTGTATCCTGTTACTGTTTATAGTTAATAACATGGAGATTAGGATAGATGTGATTTCATTTGCCTTGCTTGAACTAATTGGATGCATTATGTAGAAATCACCTGAGCCTGTGCTAGATCAACAAAGAAAATGGAAATGTATACCTCAGGACTGAATTCTGAGAAAATTAGACTGTTCAATGCTATTTAATAAGGCGCTAAGAAGAAATACTACTGCCAATCAGGGAAAGTGAGAGACTAGTGGACATGAGAGAAAATGAAATTTAGGTCATTCTGATACTTGTTGAAACATAGTTTATTATTATGATGTAAAAACAGAAGATCACAATACATCTCACAGACATATTACACAATTTCCAGTTGAATTTAGGGTGAACCATGTAAGTGTTCAAGGAATGTATGGTCATTATATCAGTAGGAAACTGGCCTTTTAAATTTGTGGTCCTATGCATTTATGTATGCAGAGGAGGGCTTTTTTATTTTATTAGAGATGAATTGCATGCAGGAAGTACCTCTTTGCATTATAGCTACTTTCTCAGTTGAAGATACTATATAAAGTCTGATTTTTGTACCGGCGTGAATGTATGTATTGGCATTTGTGTGTATGTGTATGTAAGTGGAAGGATGTAAAATTTAATGATTGACATTTGCACTTTGGTTTGTTACCTAGAATGTAAAGAGGTAGAGTAAATTGTCCTAAGCCATTTCATGTGTCATGATCATTATTAAAGATTATTATCCACAAAGGAAACATTTCTAAAATGGAATGACTACTGCAAAGGCTCTCCAATTAAATATAATATGTAATGCAATTGAGCCATTTAAATTAAGATGGTACCAATGTCTGAAAATAATGAGAGTAGGCTCCTGTGAAATCAGTTTGAAGACAGTTGGGAAGTCACATTATACTCCTTCCAGCTACTCCACTCAGTGACAGAGGGTGAGAGCCATGGATGATCTCATAGAAGAGACTTGGGAAATATTTGTGTTCTAACTATAACTTTTCAACCTACCAACAAGTTCCATTTGGCTTTTTTTCTACTTTTCTTCAACCAAAATTATATAACAAGTAATCATATTAATATAGATGAAAGTGAATATTTAAGACAAATTGACATATTTTTTGTAGTCACCGTGTGCCATAATAATTTTGAAACTATTGTTGTCTGGTATTTGTATTCACTTCTCTTTATCTTGCTGATTAACTTTATAGTTGAAATTTTTATCTCGTTTTTCTATGTGACAATCAACTGAAGTTGGTACCTTATCTATACGATTACAGGGATTTTGTCTTTACTTATGGTATTATAATAAATTATAAGTCTACAAACTGTATAATTCTATTGTTTTGAATATTTTTTGTGACCAAAATAATAAAAAAACAACTACTTTATAAAATGCCTGTATTTTCTATTTTAATAGTCTTTTAAAATATAATGGGACATAAAACATGTTCATGTTGCTCGTTTTTAAAATACATTCCACATCTTTCCAATTTGAGAGTGAAGAGCTTAGCCACTTAAGATAAAGAGAAAAGGTTTAACAGAGATAGTTGCGAGAGTATGTGGAGAAAAGCACCCTGAACCGAGTCAGGAGTCTTGATGTGAAATTTTGCTCTGCTACTAAGAGCGTGACCTGACATACATTTTTGAGGTCTCAGGTGCTCAGGTTTCTCATCTGTAAACAGTGAGTTTGGAATGCACTATCAATTTTAAGATCATTTAAATTCTTAACTTTCCATAAGTTAACCTAGTTCTGAGGTTTTGATAACTTAGAACGATTACAATGTTATTCTGATCATATTAATAATCAATACTGACATCAGTATTAAGCGAATCACATGCTGTTTTCCACTCAGCTTGACCCAAACCTCAACATAGGCCTTAAGTCCAAGGGAAAATCTGAATGTACAGTTGTTGCTGTTCCATCCTTCGTTTGACTTAATGGAAATATGTATGGAGATATAAATCATCATGTCTGAGATCAACAGGTCCCTCTAAGTTAACCGAACCAAGCAGCAGCCAAGTACAAAATCACTCAATTTGTAACAGAGGAAAACTTTTCGTTCTGCACTGAGCTGAATGCATCCCTGGCAGAATATTCAAGTGCTAGAACCAGTTTTGTTTGCTCTTTACCCTCCAAGCATTGATCAGCACGTGAAGGCCTCGGTGACTTCAAAGGCCTTTCTGACTTGGATCAGCCTGGCTGGGTTGAGAGGAGGAGGACACACTACCCCTGATGTCGGTCGCTGTAGCTTCTTTCATCTGTAGGTCATTCTCTGCTTCGGAGAAGCAACAGGCAGAGGAGTCTTGCAACTGTTGTCATTTTCACGATTAATGTTTAGCAGCAAAGTGCCTCACACAGACAAACAGTACTTGTATTTTAGTCTCCTGCTACTACTCCAACTGGGAAAGGGCAGAGAAACAGTAGGGAGCAAAATGAAAGCATATATATTATGTTGATTTTTTTTTATTGCAGCACACTGACTTGCAAAATAGTGTCACTTTCAAAATCACAAAGGTGGCATGGATAATCTTCAGGCATCATTATTTAGAGAATTGGTCAGATTGAACTTTTTCTTTTCGTTTAGGCGAACTTCTGGCCATTTATGGAACTCATTTAGATAATAAAATTTAATTTTGTCAATTTATTCTTTATTATACAAGATTAGAAATGTAGATGGGAGAATTGCTGACTTGCGCTTACCAAGCCTCTCCCATCCCCCCTCTCCCGCTATCTCCAAATAAAACTTCTACCCTTGCCTCTTACTTCTATTTTTTTTTTTTTAAAAGAAGACTAGACTTGTTCAAGGAAAATGGCTATATAGAGCAGTGGAGAAACTGTAAATGAGAGTTACCGATTCAAAAGTTATGTTCAGAATCCATCATCAAATTGGATTCATATGAGTAAAAATAAAATTTCAATACTATTGAGGATTAAAATACTTGCTTGTGGTTTTAGTTCTTGTTTTTTTGAGTGCTGTTATTCCACTACCCTGGTTTGGTAAATATAATTTAGTTGAACTGAGTCTAATAATTTTTTGATAACTTTTTAAACTTAAGTTACTGAGAATCGACCCTGTGCAGATAATATATTGATGGCTGTATTTATTATTTATCTCAACTTCATGAGGCAGATACTATTATTGTCATGATACCCATTTTGCAGATGGGGAAAATGAGGCCCAGAGGGTTTTAGTAAATGTGCAAAGCTACATAGCTAGCAGTAGATAGAGCTGGGCATTGAGTCCTGCCATTTTGGTTACAGAGGTGGCACTCAACAGGTGGGCCGTAGAGTTTTCATGCCAAACACTATTATAGATGGGGGCACAAGTTAGGTTCTGGAACTATTTGGGAGTGTAGAGATGACTTTTGTGGTTCTTTAAGTCATTTGTCTGTTAACCTGAGCGAAGCAGATTCAGCATGCAGGACTTCAATGTGAAAGGTAGTCAGAAGTATTGGATAAAGGTGGAATCTGTGATAGAAAGTCTGCTTTAAATACTGTAGACAGAGAAGAAGAGAAATGCTCGAAGTTACTTGCTTTGCAGGCTTAAAATATATTACTATAAATATGTACTATTTGCATCAAAAATGTTTTTGAAAATGATGACTTTGCTGCTGGAATCTGGGTGGACTGAGGAAAATGACAACTGCATTCTGTGAACGGGGGAGATCGCATCTAATGGGAATTCCAATCGTGCAGGCTAATTATTACAATGCCACATGCTAAATGGCAGACTATCATAGTGATTAAGAGTACACTGTCTGGAATCCAAGCTGCCTGGGTTTGAAAGGTGTCTCATACACTTACAAATGGAGCGACCATTGGACAAATTACATCTCTTTGCCTCCATTTCTTCATATATAATATGAAATTAATAATGTCTACCTCATAAATTAATTGTGACTATTAAATGAGATTTATCCAGGCAGTGTGTGTATGATGTAACAAGAGCTCAATAAACGCTGGCAGTTATTAAGGTTCTTATTATTGTTTTTATAATTGACATATGAATAGAGTGTAGTGGTTGCTGACTGAGATGTTTATGGACCAAAATAAACTCAATATCACTGACAAAAGTGAAATAAAAGATACCTCACAGAAAAGGTAATACTCAGCCCTCAATATTCTCCATATACTACAGCTTGAAACTCAGCAAAATTGTGCAGGTACAGGTTCTCCAGGAAAATTCATCAGTTTCTGGTCTGCTACAATTCAAATCTTGGAGCTCTGTGAGCTGTAATTTTTTCGGGCTTAGACAAGTGAAAGGAAACTGTGAAAGCTGAAATCCAACCTTTGTCACAATTCAATGATGAAAGTTTCGAAAAGGTCAAAGAACAATTTTTGAAGATCACTTTATCCACAATCATAGGAGAATACAGCTTTCTCTGATATTAGTTGCTTAAAAATTGCGAAACTTAAGAATGATAAATTACTTATAAGATTATCATAAAAACGAAGAACAATGCTGACTATGATAACCAATCCACAAATAAGTAGTTGTTATTCTTTGCAAATATTTAATAAGTATCTATGATATGATGATGAGAGCTTTATTTTCAAAGACCATTAAGCAGAAAATGTGCTGCATTTATTAGATGATAAGATTTGAAAGTGTGAAATATAAACAAAATATATACTTGCTGAATCGAACTGGATAATATTTAATATATGGAAAGTCAGTCACTATCATTTAAATATAATAGTTGGTTAACTAAACCTATTGGAGAGAATAAAACAAATAACCATTGAAAATAGTGTTTTGTCTATTTGGAACTACTTTTCAGATGAAATATATTGAATAATAATTGGGACTGTGGAAAATGTAGGCCTCAGAAAGGACTCTGTGTTCGTGGGAACACACAATGTTGCTTGTGAAGACATGAGAAAATTATACTTTAAATTTGTATCACAATTTAGTGGCTGAACATTTGAAAAGAAACAAAGCCAACTACAGATCTTTATTAGTTCATACATTTCAATAATTTTTACATTTTTTATGAAAGAGCCAGGTACTCTCTATTTTTCTGGATGTTGATACCACCATAATAACCTATCTTATGCCGCTTTTTGTGAATTTCTAGTAAGGAGTTAAAGTTAATGTAATTAAAAATGAATAGCTTTGTAGATGATCCCCTTAGATGTTAGGGGAAAAACGAACATTTCCTAGTTCTGAAATCAGGTACAGCTCAGCCTGTTTTCTAATCGCTGCTGCCCAATTGTGTCAGTGGAAATTCCATCTCAGTAGCAGCCGAGGGGGACCTGGGTCTCTAATCTTTCTGCTTCTCTCTGTGTCTAGCTGTTAAAAGGCGGGTCAGCGAGGATTTTTTCTCCCCTATGTGTCAGGTTCATGAAAGAAGCAGACATTTGGTATATGCATTCCAGAAAGATCAGAAGCTGGCTGCCTCCTGATAATACATTTCCAGTGGATATAGTGTATTCTAACTTTCTGCTGGTTGACTTTTTTAAATCCCTGCATATTTATTAAATAAAAATCTGCCATTTTTTTTGAACCCCAAATTGAAGCTTACTTGTTAAAGTCATGTAATTGAAAAAATATGAGTTAAGGAAAAAACTGATAATATTAAGGAAGCAATTAATTTTCTACGTGAGCATTTTTAATAAAAATCCTATGGTGGCTAGTCACATAAATGCTTCTCTATTTAGATGACAAAGTTTGTGAAAATGTTTATGAGGATGACTTCCAATTTGTCCTTCCTTACAAGAGGTTGTGTTCAAATGAATACCAAGAATCTGTAAACACAGGATCTTTTTATCTTTCAATAAACCATTTTTTAATACTAGGAAGAAATGCAATACATACCTTGCACCAGGGCTCCTTAGTAATCATGAGCTCTCCTCATTTGAGATTAACATTTGGATTAAAGAGCATGATTAGAGGATTCTAAATTAGTGGTTACCAAGTTGAAATGACACAAAAGTTAAAACAAAGTAATACAGCAATCTATTTCATGCAATATATTTCTTATACCAGTTAATTAGCAGTTTAATTAGCGTGATGTTTCATGTTGTGACCTAAGCCATTGTACTCCCAAGGGTTCTAATGGAGACAATGAAAAAATAAAAGGAAAGCTTCAGAATTGCTGATGGTTATGTCACATGCCACCAGAATTAAAAATAATTCTTCATTTTAAAATAAAAGAACGTATGCTTTTTTTCTGACTCCAGAACAGATTTTTTTTGAAAAAGGCAGTTTTATGGTATGAAATACTTTCACGAATTAAAAGCACATCAAATACATGCAACAGTGTTAAATGAATTATATTTTAAATTCCAAGTGGGCACAAATAAATGTCTAAAGGATTCACTTAGATAAAAAAGAAGTACCTCTCATGATTTTGAGAGAAAACATAAAAGATATGTATTAGGGTGGTCATAGTTTTGAATATATCATGTGATTCAGAGGATTCTACTAAGGGCCATTGAAATTACTTACAAAGAACTGCATTTGGAAAGCCACAATGGAGCTCTGCCTTCGGACAGGCCTGAGGAACAAAAAATACGCATCTTACAAATAATTTATCAAGTGCGTGACATGAAAGCCGTCCCTCATCCCTTTTGCTCTCCCAGTGAGAACGTATTCAGATTGCGTGTGTTTGTCTTTATTACATGAAATGGAAGTTTCTGCTGAGCCAAAGACAGTCATCTGCCAACAGATTGGTTCTGCCTTTTCCCAACAGCGTAAAGAAATGGCCACAGTAGTTAGGAATATTGGGCTATAAAACACACCAAACCTTCTGGAGGTGTTTTTCCCTTCATTTTGCGCTGCTGACAATTCAGAACACGCAAGGAAATAAAATATTTTAAGGCTCAGACTAATATCCCTAGATTTTGTCAAGCTTTCTTTCCCAGTTGCTGAAGTCTGTTGCCTTCCTGTTTCTGGCTGTATAATTAGGCTATTCGTTTCCTTTGAGTTTGCATTCTACAGTAGGTCCAGAGGGCTCTTTTTTCCCTTTCAAAAATGGTTCTGTAGCCTCTTTTGGTAGTTAATGTATGGATGCCATTTGGAACATGACTTTAGTTATTATGTTGCTCACAGATATTTTATTGTACACAGACCTGAGTATTTTATGGAAATTTAAAGTCACTGTTATGTAAAACCTTATAAAGAAAGCCTTTTACGTTTCCCCCCCCTTTTTATGTTGTCTAGCACATCAATTCAAATTGCTCTCTTTTCATTTAGTAAAAATTTTTGGCAAATGGAACAGAAAATATGTAAAAATTATGAATTTTTAATTGGTAGTGTATAATCAATTGGAAGTTCTATTTTCCAGGAAGGACAAATTTGAATTTGTGATAAAGAAATAATTCAGTAAACATTTGTGCCAGAACAGACACAAAGATGGGTGATCCCTGTGCTTTGTTTCTAGTTTGGTGGTTTTATATCTTAAGACAATCAGAAAGTTGCAATTGAACTTTTCGTCTGATAGTTACCAGACAATGATCTGATCTGAGAGTGATCTTTCAGTTTAAATATGTTTACTAAGCATTTGAATTACTATGTTTGTCCTTTCTTGGATTTCCTATGAAAATATATGATATAATGGTACACATAATTCATAAATGAACAGGTGCAGTGTTTAGAACACTGATTATGGACCAGCCTTTGAGACTTTGGGCAAGTTACCTAACCTGCCATGTATTTAAATGAAGACAATAACAATCTCATAGCATTATTAAGAAATGTGGATGTATTAACGTGCTCTATAAGTTATGTGTCATATAATGCTAATATAAGTAGATATGTACCAATTATAGCAACTGCCTGGCATAAAGTGAGCAATTGTAAATAACAGCTATCATTAAAGAAACACTCAGAAATGTGAAACGGGTCACATAGTTATTCACTAGTGGAACTAAGGTTCCAGAGACAGTCTGAATGCAATATAGAACCGTGCCTGCCACACAGTGAGTGTCTCCAAGTGCTATCTGCTGTTAAAAACAGACAAATATGTTCTCCAAATACGTTCTCCAAAGGTCTTACACTGGTCACGTCTGGGATTCAAACTGCAGATACGTTTGACTTTAAACTCTGATTTCCTTAAACCTTTACAGGACTCTAAACTTGATTTTAGAACTATTTATTGGTTTAGACTTCACAAACTTTATAAATAAGCTTGCTGTTGAAGCATGTCTTTGAAAAGGTAATTTTAAAAATTATTTAGAAAATGCAAACATGCTTGTAAAACAGTGATGTTTATAAATGAGAAGATAATAAAAATGACCAATTATCAGTGCCTATTTGGAGCTGTTTTTCATGAGTGTCTCTTTGAATTTAGAAACTATTCATTAAAGCAAACTGAGAACAGCAAACAGAGAAATACGTAGCCGGTCTATTTTCTAGTAGTCTTCAGCAGGTTAATTAGGTAAGCTCATAGTCTCACCTCCACTTTCATTTTCTTTGAATATGTGGAATTATATTAATCAAAGGTGTCAGGTTCTCGTGACTGTGGGAAGCACCTTTTATACAGTGACATTGTCTTTTTGGCTATTCCTACGTCATTTGTGTGGCCATTCAGTTTTGTTTGCCTGTGAGGAATGTTTTATTTCAATTTTCTTGAAATATTCTGCTGCAATTTTTCTGATTACTTTGCTTTAAAAGCTATGTTACAGCTGGATGTTTATATTGACTGCTTTTCACGTAGATGCTTGTAAGGCCTAGCACTGTCTTCTGGTAGTCACCATTACTTACTATTTAATTGACTTTGAAATTAATACACCCTGATGACTATTATTGGAAGTTATTCCACTTTCCGTGCCATGTAGCAATATTGGATCATAAAAATATATGTTAATAAGCTGCCCCAAAATCTTGCAAGGACAGAACAACTTGCTTCTTAAGCCATGCTCAGGAACATCTAGTGCCTCTTCATTCCTAATAAATACATTTCGAATGCCTTAATTTAGAATGATATTCCTCTGGCTCTACTCTCCCTCTCCCATCTTTGCTTTCCATTCTTCCTTTCGTGAACCCTATGCTCCAGCTAAGCCTGGTAACTTTCAAGTGACTTTATCGGCTTCACACTTTCCTGCCAGTTTATCTTAACCCATACGGTCATCTCCTCCCGCAATCCTGTCTTTCTAATTTTACATGAATGAATTCTACTTTCCCTGATTCTTCTATTAAGCTTTTCCTGATTATCAAATCGTTAGTGCTAATTTTAAGTTACTCTCTTCTGCATGATTTTTATGGAACCTGGAGATTCCTACATTTGATGATGAAATTTTGGGGGCATGTAAGTGTGTATGTGTATTATTTCTTATTACACCATAATCTCTTCACTGGGAAGGTCCAAGTCCGATGCATATCTACTCTCCTCCCAGTTCTTAGCAAAGCGTCTTGTTTATAGTAGATTAGATCACTAAACAATGATTGGATTCATTTGATGCTATAAGTGGGAATTTTATGCTTCTAGGACATTCAATAAAATGCATAAATATTAGTCATTCAATAAATATTTCTTGATTTCCTACAGCAGATTAGGTGCTGGGGATATTGCATTCCTATGACACATTAAATTCTGGGTAACACAATTGAGGTGATATGCACATATTTACATATACCTTTATAAAGCACGTGAGCTCTGTAGAGCTTGCATTCTTCTGTGTCACTCAGGATCTACTCTATTGCAGGAATTCTATTGTTACCAAAATAAATATGTGGTACCCAGATGTGATAACTACATGGTGTTAAGAATAAGGGGTCTGGTGGAGGACAAATGGATACCAAGGCAGTATGGTATAAAAGGAGGCTGGAAAACAGAACAAAATGTGTAAGGTATTAGATTTCATGTGAAAGAGATTCAGCTTGATCCTGGGAGAAATAGGAGTTAAACTCCTTTAAAGACAAAGGAATGGAAGCCCAGATTTACTAGGGGAATAACGTTCATAGCAGTGAAGGAAGCACCAGAGAGGGAAAATACAAACACCTCTAAAGGGATTTGGGTTTAACTGAGACATCTTTTCTCTTAGACTTCGAATCCTATGGCCACACATTAGGTGGGATAAGAAGCAGAGACAACCACACTTGGTCATTTTTTGCCACCAATTCAGTGTTCTGCACTAGAGACATATTTCCTTAGTAGAGGAATTAATATATTTAATAACAAAAGAAATACGTTTTAATGCATGGATTCTAAAATCCGTAGATGTGGAACCATTCTTTGAACAAAGAGTTCAGTTAAACAGTTTATGTGTCATATGGTGAGTCTGTATGATGTTTGGGAATAGATGCAAAGCATGATTTAAAAATAAAATTCCTTACCTCTAATACTGACAGTCGAAAGAGACTTTCTTTGATGGTAAGCTATGATCTCAAATGAAGTCATGCCTAAGAGTCTACCTTGAGGCTGAAGACTAAAGAATCACCACTCATCAAATCCATGGCATCCCATTTCCACCTCTATCATTGTCTGACCTAACTTCTCAAGCTATAAGCTGAATTGTATTTCACACTCTATCTAGAAGTATTTTTATTTGATTTTTATGTTGCAGCATATTACTAAATTATTTTCAATGATTTCTGTTTGCTTTTTGTGCTTCATGGTTTTTTAACAAAAGGATTTATGCCGTAATAGTATGGATATGATTTTCATTGCCCTGTGGTTTATGAGACTCACTGTTTCTTTTGAAAAAAATAAAACAATTCATAGGATTTCATCTGTAGTAAGACAGTTCTGGCAGTTCTGTGACAGGGAAATTTTAAGGATCATCAATATTGAAGGCACAGTCTGTGGTGTAACTCTTTTTTTGTTCTTCTCTTTTTTCAACTTTAATTCCAATTAAAAGATATTCCACCGGGCTAGATGCTTTCTGCCTGGATCTTTTCTGTCTGATCTTTCACTTGCAACCAAGGAAATGCAGCTTCAATCTGTTAGAGCTGAAAGGGCCCATAGCATGCCAGGGGCTATCTAGTGTTTCAAAAATTTAGAACCCCTGGTCTATGAATGATGATTAATGTGTGGTACTTATATTGTTAAATTTTCCAAGAAAGATGTCCTGCAAAGTTATTCTGTGCTGCTGAAGCTGTTCTTAATATTCCATATCATGCAGAGGTTGCACATATCGTGGCTATGCAGAGTATTTAACTCACAGTTCTGTAGGGAAGTATGGACGTTCACAATACACAGTTTTCACAGTACTTTTTTGATCCTTTATCATAAAATTTATGCAAAATCCTGTATAAATCATATCCTGTATATTTTATCATATAATTTTTTAAAATGATTATATTTTTGTTTGAAATTTTTATTGTTTTTTGATAGGTTTTTGGTGGGTACCATCATGCTTTTAAGGTTGCTGTTACCCATGGTGTGAAAATTCAAATTTTGTTATTTTGATTGAAAGAGTTACATGTTTTCTTTTTAAAATTCACTTAGGAATAAAAATTTTCTTACTAGTATTATTATGAAAAGGTGTAACCTCTGATATATCATGTTGTGGGAATATCTTAGCATGGGATATAATTCAGGAGTTTCTCAATGCTTGATTCGCCACTCTGAATATAATTTCTATTGATAGTGTAACTAAAGTATATCAGAAATACTAATGTCAGTGTTGAGTCTTGTACTAACTGGCTGAAGCATTAATCAATGGAGTATAAAGTATAAAAATGCTGCATTATTTTGGATGCGCACACATATATTTTGAAATATATCTTTTTATTCACATGGATATGTTTCATATATATTCATGCATGTTTTTCAAAATGTATTTTTTCATTCTGAAGATCACCAGATAGCTACAATTACTCAACAATAATTATTGAATACCTGCTTTTACCCAGACGTTGTGATTGAGGCCGGGAATATAAATATGGGAAAGTTACTATCTCTGCTTTCAAAGCATTTGTTACCAAGAGAATCAGATGTGCTGTAAGTGCTACAGGATGACAGAGATAGAGAGGGAATGTAAAGATGTTTGGAAAAGGTTTGATGATACAAGAAGCTTTTGAGTTGAACTTTGTGATAAATTAAGTTCCCTCAAACTAAGGAGGGAAGAAAGAGGCATTTCAACTGCACAAGAAATCATAAGAAAAGCCATGAAAGCTTCAAAGTTCATAATTTATTTGGTAAAAGGCACATAATCCAGTGTAGAGTTTAGGTACATTGGGATGAATGGCCAGATATGAACTGGAAAGAGGAGATGGCAGTGTGAGATGTGTCTTGAATTTCCTCCCTATGAGCCTGGATTTATCCTGTAAACATTTGGAAGTCATTGAAAGTTTTCAAGGAAGAATGTAACAAAATACTCATTTTAGAAAGATGATTGTGTTGGTAGAGTGGAGGGCAGTTCATAGCAAAAGTACTGGAGAAAGGGATACTTTCTAGTATCTAGATAAATTCTGATCATGTGATTCTGATGCCCTTGAAGACAGATCAAGAGGCATAGAGACGGAAGGCTGTAAAATATTTGGTAGATGATGAGAGGTTGGGGAAGAGAGGAGAGAGAAAATAGAAATGGAATGGAAAAGAAATTTGTTTCACAGTTTAGTTTTGAACATTTTAGTAAGAAAGTGGAACTTGGAATATAAGAGATTAGGATTGGGAAAGGAAAGAATTGAACAGTTCATCTATATTTAGTAATAGGTGACTCCATGCAAATATATGAGATCTCCAGCGAATATAGAGAGAGTAAAAACAGGAGAAGGGAGGATAACATAAAAGAAAGCCAAAGAAGTAAATACAAAGTCAGGAAAAAATTGTATGACAAAAAGCAAAGAAGGAAACTGTTTTGGCAAGGATGCAGTAGACATGCTAATAAGAACAATATCAAAAGCAGTAATAACAGCCAAAATCGATTTAACCCTTAGTGGGCGCTAGACTTTGCACTAGGAATACTACACAGATTAGCTCATTTAATCCTAGTAATAAACTTTGTTTTCAAGCAATAGAAACCAAGCTTATAATTTAATATTTTAGACCAAAGATAGCTTTAGGAGCCATGAGGTAGAGCTTACAGGTACTAGTGGAGATAAAGGACCATGCTCAGAAAAGAGAAAGATCTCTTCCAGAGGGTAAAAGTAAATCAGAGGTTAGTAGGAATTGGTAAACTGTCTTTTTCAAACACTAGGGCTAGAATGACTTAAATCCAATTATGTCAATTTATTTCATCACTATGCTCACTAGCCAGACAGGGAATGCTGAAATGTCCTTCTTAGTCCAGTCTTCCCAGACTAAATCAGTGAGTGAAAAGTAATTTGCTCAAAGAAAACAGGTGTTCACGCACTCCGCTGTGGCGGCCCAGGGTTTAGCTGGTTCGGATCCTGGGCGCGGACATGGCACCGCTCATCAGGCCACTTTGAGGTGGCGTCCCACATGCCACAACTAGAAGGACTTGCAACTAAGATATACAGCTATGTACCCAGGGGATTTGGGGAATTAAGCAGGAAAGATTGGCTCAGGTGCCAATCTTTAAAAAAAAAAGAAAACAGGTGTGACCCACGCATGCCCAATGCAAATGTGAGGGAGCCAAATCTTAGGGAAGTTAAATAACTTGCCCAAATTTCAACAGTTAGTAAGTGAATGACTTTGTATTAAGGCCAACTCCCAGCATTCAGATCAAGAAAATTGAAGATTGAGGAAAGACTCTTTTATGTGGCATTTCTAATAGTTTCATCAGCATGGTGGCCAGGTAGGAAGGTTACATCAGGTTTTATGGAGCCTGTTTTAAGTAAGCAGAGCAGTTGAATGTAAAGTACTTTGCCAAGAATTTTTGCAGGAAAGAAAAGGAAACAGCAATTTGATGGTGGAAGAGATGAGGAAAGATCTTTTTTACAAAATAGGGAAATTCAGGTAAGTTTGTAGGCTAAAAGAAAGTTAGAGATTGAACATAAAAGAGAAAGCATTTTGATGAAACAGGGTTTTGGCAGAGGCAGGAAGGAGTGGAATCAAAGGGTCAGATAGACAAAGGAATAAGCATTCTTCTTCTGAGATGCAAAATCAAGTACAAATGAATGAAGACACAGATAAATTTGGAGACGTGGAGGAAGGAAGCAGAGGGGCTCACGCCCGATAGCCTCAATGTTCTCAGCAGTAGGAGGTGAGATCATGTGTTGAGGTTGAGGGGAGTCAGACTGAGAGTGGGGATCTCAGGAGGGTGTGGTGGGAACAGCTGCTGTGTGGAATGGGAAGACCAGCCAAGTAAGGATGAGTAATAGGGCTGCTAAACAGCTCTGAGAGTTCAGCTGACATCGGAAATCATAAATTTGTAGCAGAGTCAATCAGCGTAGTTATTCAATTTTCTCACTAACTCTTGGCAGCCCAGGAGGAGGAGGAGAGCAAACAGATGGTGGGATTGATTTGGTAATGGGATTGGCAAGGCAGCTGTGAGAGAAGGTCAAAGAATGGAAGAATCAATTGCACCCATGAAAGTGTGTTGAAAATGGTTATCATGGGGATCAAAATTAGGGAGAGATGGCAGTCAAGCCAGGGAGGATTAGAGACTGCTGGAAAACGGAAGGGCAAATAGGTGGAGGTTGTCAGCCTTTGAAACCTACGAAGAGTTTTTGTGGGTATGAGCAACTGGGTTAGGGGATTAGAGAGGAAAATTTCACAGTTCTGGATATTACTGTAGAGAACTTTTTGTTTAGAAACAGTCCATTTTGTATCTATGGGTGTGGATTGCCAAAGCTGAGTGGAAGTGATTGTCACTGGAATAGTGAGACAAAAGAATGTTGAAGCTAAATAGATGAATGAGTCATCCACATCATCTAGAACAGCGATAACAAGCCAGCTGCCAAATTATTCAAGTGAATTGATGAAGTACTTGGGGATGATAAGATTTAGAAGAGAGTTAGATAGTTTGATTACTTGGGCTTTGTAGATACGGGACTTACTGAACTAAGATAATAGAGTGATGTCCCAGAATTGGAAGGAGAAGTCCAAGAGAATGCTTCTCTTCCTCTTTGCTCTGAGATAGGAAGATGGTTACTGTTTTTAGCAGTGTTCTAGAATGTAGTGAAAGCTATGTGAATAAAACTTAGAACTCATTGCAAACAATTCCCATGCAGGGAACCTTATTTGTATTTAGCCTACGATATGTTCTAGCGGGTAAATTTCTTCCTCTCAACTAGTTCATGCTAATTTACGTTTAAACGTGTGGTAACGTAACTTATTTTAAACATAAAATACCTAAATAGCCACAAAAAAACATGTCTGACTTAGTTACCACTTCCATTATAGCCCCATGTTTCTGATCTCCTTCACCAAAACTTGTCAAAGTGTTGTCCATATGGTCATTTTCCACTTACATCTTAAAGTCTTTTTAATCCACTCCCATGGGGCTTTTCTGCTTTCCACTCCAATGGCAAGTCTCTCCTCAAATTTACCAGAATTCAGTTTTGCTGAATCCAATGGTCAGTTCTGTCTGTCTGAATCTTGGCATTTAAGGATTGTTCACTCTCTCTTCCTGTAAGCACTTCATATCGCTGTATTCACCTGGTATTTCTCCTCCATTGCTGACTACATATTCTTAATCTCCTATGCTGCTTCTGCTAGATGTCTAAATCTTGTAGAGCCTCAGGATTTTGTTTTTATGTACCACCATCCCAGCCTTCCCTCCTGGGCTCCATACTCAGTCCAACTACCTACTTAGCTTTCCCATGATAAAGGCAGTGGTACACAGTGGTCATGTGGCAGGTTCTGGTACCAGATTCTCTGTGGCTCTGTTAGCTGGCTGACTAGGGCAAGTTTCTCTCTACTTCAGTTTTCTTATCACTAAAATGAGGATCACAATAGGAACTATTTCATGGGGTTCTTAGGAGGATTAAATAAGTTAAAAAAAGTAAGTAAAAAAATAAGTGTTTAGAAATATATTTGTTGCAGAGTAAGTGCTGAGTAAATGCTAGTTATTAGTGTTATGAGAAACAAAACAGAGCAAAAGCAGAACCATTGATTTTTTTCCTCAAATATTCCAATTTGCTCTCTTCATAAACTTTTATCATATGAGTGAATAATACTGATATCCACCCACTTTGCTCAGGGTAAAAACCCAGAGATCATCTTTTGCTCTTTTCCCTTGTACCCAATTGATCAGTAATTTTTATTACCTTTACCTCAAAAATCTATACCAAATCTGGCCACTTTTCACCACCTCCTCTTCAAAACCATAGTCCAAGCCGCCAACATCTGCTCTGTCTGATTTTACTGTACTCTCTACAAGACATTCTCCATGGAGAGATCTTCCTAAAGTGTAAATGCAAACATATCCGTCCACTCTTTAAAATCCTCCTGTGGCTTTCCATTACAATGAGAATAAAATCCAGTCTTCCAGAGTGGTCTACAAGCATGGCCTGATTAGGTACCAGCCTGCCTCTGGGACCTGAACTCTTCCACTCACAGTGTTCTTCACTGAGCCGAAGCTACTTTGACCCTTTTCTCTGTCACCCAAACATGCCATAAGATTTTCCTTTTAAAGCCTTTGAACGTGTTGCTTTTGCTGTTTGGAACCCTCCTTCTCCCCTCTGATCTGCATACGCCTACCTCCTCTTCATCATTTCAGTCTCACTTCAAATGTCAAGTCGTCATAGAGCCTTCCTTGACCGCCATCCATCATGGTACTCTAATTTGTAGTTTTTGTAGCACTCATTAGGACCTGCGATCTCAATCTCTACCCCGACCTTAGTTTTTCCAAACTGATCACACCTAAACCTGGAAAAATAAAAGGGTCTATTGTAGAGTTCCATTATTTACCTAATTATTTACATTTTGGCCATCAGATTTCTTAAATTTTATTTTTGTGTATGCTTGGTCATATAAGTAAAGTGATTATTAGGTGCTACATTGGTGTCTGCTAATGCAGTAGGCTTTTGCAGTGTGTAAGCATTTCCAGCTCTCCTCTTTACATTTGTAAAACTTGACATAAATAAAGTAGTGCTTGTTTTGGATCTCGATTTCTCTTGGAGAGCTACAATTTTTGGAAAATTGAGTTATTATTCTTTTGATATATATACAAGATATATACATATACATATCTGCTAAAATGACCTGAAGATTGTATTTAAGCCGAGAATTGCTTCACTTGAATCATGAATTATTTTATTAATAAGGCTAATATATCAGAAGATCCTAATTGTTTTATCAGTAGTTCCCCAAAGTATAAACAATGAAATGCAAACAAAACCAAGACATTATCTTCCTCACCCTCACTTTCCTTTTGAGCAAAGCACTGCAAAACACACTTCTCATTATTCTGAAGTAAGGATATATCTTTACTTGAGAATCCTTGTGTTATGATCATATCACTTAGGGTCAAGACGTTGACCATGTTCATGGATTACTGTTTTAAGGTAAATATGTGAGCATATCAGGTCTAAATAAACCATTATCAGGGGCTTTCCATATAAAGATAGAATAGATTCTTATTCATCAAATGTAACGTTATGTTTGCAGCCCCAACTAACTATAATCACCTAAGATTTGGATGTAAAATTATGTTTTCTATATGTAATCTGAAACCAAAAATATTATATATCTGGATTCTGATTGCTTTTCAAAAGATATGATGGCGCAAAGTGTTGTGAATTAATATTTCATTTCTAGGCCTAACCCAGCACATATTGTCACAGTCATCATCCATTTCTAAAAAAGGAAATATCCCTTACTGGCATACTGACAAAATT